ATTTTTTCTCGTCAGGAGCACAGCGCTGGACTTTCACTGCGCAAATTTGACAGCGATGCCAAGCAAAGCTGATCGACGGCTTCACGTGGAGGATAAAGGGGGCACGCACGACCCTTACGGTGCTGCTCAAGCGCCGCCCAGGCGCCAGTTGGCCGGATGGCACACGCACCAATCGAGATGTTCCCCCGCTAGATTCCTTGTCGAGCGCACAATGCCAAGTTGTAGTCAAGTATGGAGCGCAAGATTCTATTTGTACATTTCCAATGATTGTCAAGAGCCACGTTGCATAAACAGCAGCATCGCCCCCCCCCCAGGAATTTCTGCCATGCCATGACTTTGTTCACCGGAAAAAAAAAGTTGGTGAACGTCAAATTCGTGATTTTGCTTTCTTTTTCGTCGCTCTTCGCATGGACATCTGCGTGGTGTGTTGGCCCCGTTGGCCCCTCCATGCCCGCTTCCACCTCCTACATGGAAAGCTGCATCGAATCCACCCTCGGCGAGACACGTGCTCGGATTTCAACTTTTAAGCACCTGGCCGGATGCTGAACAGATTGATGACGTTGGGTTGGCCAAAAGTTGTGTTGGGATGCGAGATTACTTTTTGACTTCCTTGAAGAGGACGTGCCTCTTGACTGGAAGAGCAGCATGAGCAGAGCAAGGGCGCTTTCAGCAGCAATCTTTTTGACGAAGAACAAAGTCGAAACGTTGCGAGTTTTCCGGCAAGTGGTGATCAGGTCCGGTGCAGACCAAGCTTCCTCCCTTTTCTTCAAGAAGCCCGGCCCCAGCTCAGTCCAGGCCAACGCTAACGCTTCTCACCCTCTGACGACCTTGGCTAGTACCATTCAACGCTCCTTGCAAAAAGTCTCTCTCGTATCCTTGTCCGCCAATGCCAGCCCGACCAGCCAATAATGTGCAAAGGTAGAAAAAAAAAACTCACCAACAGGATCATACTTCATCTTTGCCAATTTATCAGCTACGCGCAATCTCTTGGTAGTGTAAAAGTAGCCCGTCCCCGCAGTGGACATCAAACGAGTGATCAGCACTCTCGCCCTGGATTTGGCCGCCATGGTGAATCGCCGATCGAAAGCGGATTGCTCTCCCTTTTCGTTTGACACCTTCTCTTTTGCGCGTGCTCTGCTGGGCTAGTGCCGTGTGTACAGCGTGAATTAAAGCTGCTGCTTCAATCACGACGGTGGAAAGGTGTTTGACGTCGTTTGAAAGGGGCCGAGCTGACAAGACTTGTGGCGGCAATGATAGTGCTTGGTCACGGTACGGTAGTGGTGTCTAGCATGTAGGAGCACATTTGAAAGAAGCAGTACGAAGCGAAGAAAGAGTTGCGACTCGCGACTCTTGACTAGTCGTGACCTGGCGATGCGTGCCAAAAGAAATCACGTGACTGATTCTTGTGTGGTTCAGACTCGACTCATCAGGCTCAAAACTCTCGTCGCAGCGTCCGCCAATTCTCTCCACCACAAGTCAAATCCTGTCGGACTATGCCGGCATGCACAGCTTGGCATTCAACGTCATCAATTGCAAGTTCGCAAATCCCTTAGTCCGGTCATGATCTTGAATTGCAGCTCCGTATGCTGGGTATCCACCACGTAGCAGTCGACCATCAGGCGCAAGTTGGTGACGACTCAGACAAGCACGAAGATGTAGCTTGGATGTTAATTGGAGAGAGAGGGATGAGGTCTCGAGTCTGGAGTCTGGAATGGATGTGGATGCTATCTACAAGATCATTGCGCAGCTTGCAATAACGCGAAAGGCATCGCGTCGAGCAAAGAGTCCAGAGACGAACAAGTCAAGA